CAATACCTCACAATCCAACCTATGACTTAAAATTGCGTGCTGGGATTCATTCAGGTAAATAAATTACCGAGTTATTTATCAAACGTATCAAAAGAAAATACTATTGACAGTCGATCATACGTAAGATATTGTTCATCTACGGTATACAGCAGTGATAAATAGGATAGAAGTTGGTGAAAAATATTGTTAATCTGAAATATTTTTCTCCTTGTTAATAATTGATGAAATCGATGGTGATATTTTACGCCCAGGAGCTTGTGTTGCCGGGGTTATAGGTATGAAAATGCCTCGATATTGTTTATTTGGTGATACAGTTAACACTGCTTCTAGGATGGAGTCGAACGGAGAAGGTATTTCAATCTAAATTATTATGGTTTATTAATTGCAGTTTAGAAAAGATGGTAGTTGGTTAACAATCTGTCGGTTTTGATTCATAGCCGAACAGTACAAAATTATTTTACAAAAACGAGCTTTTCAGGACAGTTATATGCTATATGCATAATGGGATTATTTGAGAAAGTTTAACACTGTGTAATAATCCATAATTGAGTCTTTTAGAAGGTTAAAGATATTGCAATTTAACGATTGCAATTACTATTGAGCTTGATTTTAAGTAATTTTAATTTGAAGTGTGTAAAACTTCTAATACTATTTTTTAACACTTTAGCTTCTAGAATTCATTGTAGCCAAGCATCTTATGACTTATTATCAAAAACTCGTCAATATGAACTAACACTGAGAGGGGAAATAAACATTAAAGTAAGCCTAATAGCCTATGATATAGTTCCTTTCATGTTAATGATAAGGGCATACATGTACCGGTTTCTGACAATCTCTCCGTTTATACTGTTGTACTGTAAAGATTCAAAATTCCCCGTTATAGTCAGGTTAATCATGAACGTTAAAATTCTGCATGGACTGAACTTCCTTCAGCTAGTGATAAAACTTAATCTGTCACATAAAATTTTGTCTTTATCACTTTCGCACCGGTTACTGGTCCAAATGTTAATTGCATTATTTCATAGTATATGAAAACAATTTTTATTAAATGTATACCTTGCAGTCAATAATATATTTCGATACAGATGCTATCAAACTAATAAACATAAAGCAATTTTTTCTTCAAAGTTTGTTAAATAACTAGATTTGTGAGTAAACGAAGGGCTTTACCACCTCTTGATCATGTTAAATATAATTATCTTACGTACCGTACAATCTTTTCGTGCGATCCAAAGACTTCAGTATTATTTCCTAAGGTCATTGCATCTCCATAATTATGAGAATACGACTTAACAGTATTTTCACTACAATATAACTTTATAGTCTCTACTATGCATAAATAATGTGGTGTACAACTTCCCTATTATCACTCCATGCAGAAGAGTTCAAATAATATATTCTTCCGGCAAACGCTAGCTTTGAAGGATGGAAAATATACTTATAATTAATTTGAGCTGTTAAATGAAATCCTGCAAATTAGATAATGGAAAATTTGAAGTATTGTCCGATAGTAACGATGTGATATTTAATTAAGATATTGTGTTATGACTTTTTTAAATTAGGGTTTAGGAGCAATGAAAACATATTGGTTATTAGGGCGAATGATAACTTTGAATGTGTTTATCTATGACTTCAATGCTATGCCAGAATTTTTACAAGACAACATCTAAATGAACAGACGGGCCTTTTAAATGTTAGTAGTAAATCAATTTCAGAGTGCTTTCAAAATATGGCATAGTGCTCCCATTTAATGTCGTAAAGGACGTGGTCTGTATTTATAAGCTGATTAAATATCCACTAAGAAATTAAAATTAATCTTTGCTATTGTAATGTAACTTAGTATTGTGATTGTAGACTGTTAGCCATGTGTAGTATAATGTACGGTAGATATTTATCCTAAGAGATATTTGGTAGCTGTAACTATAGACTGTAGTGGTAGAGACTCTATGCTAGAGTACAGATGACTATATACAGTAAGGTGTTGAGTTACTAATATGGCTATAGGTAAAAATAGAACTGTAAATCATATATTAGGATATGGTTAATTCATTGTACTTTGGCTGGTGTGAATAATGTCTACGTAAGTACTGTAGTCGTATCCATATTGGATTAATGATAGTCCGCAGTAGAATAGTCTTACTAAGAATAATTTAACTATGTGTAAAATAAGGTAAAAGGTTGCAATGCGGATTGTAGCTGCGAATGCTACGGAAGGTATAAAAGCATGCAACTTTAGATTATTCTGTTAGTTCGTTCTAGAAGTCTTTAGAAGTAGTATTCGGCTAGAGTAGAGCTGTGTAGTTAATCTTTGTATAAGATTGAATAAAGCCCTTATTTTTCTAAAATTTGGAATTTCGTGATTGGTATATATCACAGCTATCAATAAGATTGAACCATGATTTAGTATAGTTTGAAGACTATCATAAACTATTGGTATCATTTTTTAAAATAAGTACGCTTTTTTACTTTTTCATATAGTGATTGAATTGCTACATTATTAATTAGTATTAATTTAGATTTTACAATTAAGAAATGATTTACAAACTATTGTTAACGAAAATAATGAGCATTAAGCCTACAGTATATACATGTGAGAAAATTTAGCCACTGAAAGCGTTTAATGTTGAACATATTATGGAAACAAAAAGATTCGATTTTGACATATAAATAAATTTTCTTTACTGAAGCAATAACCGAACTTTCAGTACGTTTTAGATTTATGGTTAGCTAATGCATGCAGTACCAGGATTATAACATCGATCTAATACTACCTTAGTACGCAACTTTAAGACACTAATCTTATTTTATCTCTTATCATAACAATCTTTGTCCTTTAATGAACTATATTATTTCTGTAATGATTGATAGAAACATTGCGATATAATGTTACTAGAAATACAAGTAGAAATTGATTTAAAAATATGTTCTTAAGCCACTAGTCATAGAGAATTTTTCATGCTGCTTTCGATAAATAAGACAGATTGAAATTCACCGAAAATACCACTATCTAAAATATCATCTACGACCGTAAAAATATTTGCATAATTTCTAATATTATCTCAGTGATTATAACTGAGATTTGCGTAGTGAAACTATAGATTTTTGGATAAAATTTGGTTATAATTAAATTCAGAGAGACGTATCATCATTGCAGCTTCCTAGTGATAGACGATGGTCAGTATTGAGTCATAGTAGAGATAAATGTCTGGAAGACATATAATAGTGAATTCGTTGCAAATATCGACTTGGAAGAGCTCAGTACCCTAACGCAGTAGTATTATACTTTTAGTAGCAAATAGTAAGCAATAATGATTTTTAAACAATTTGCGTCTGAGGATATGCAATAAAGCCTATTAATTTAGCTAGCTTGCTCTGCACGCATTGGATATGTCATTTTCAGTATAATATTACTTGATATTGTATTCAGCACGCACTCAGCAGATATTTATCAACAATAACATTGAATACATATACTGTAAGTATTATTGTATATCCTAGAATATATAAACTGATCATGAGAAAGGTATAACGGTGAACTAAAATGATGGGACAAGTAGGTTAGGATATTTAATATTTGACACCCATCCCGATATTCTCATCCCTTTATGACTATTGATGAAGCTGTTAAATGATTTTGAAAGAAATTCGCAATAGCAAGTGCTTTATTTTCGTTGTGTGATACTATAAAAGATGACTATAATTCAAATTGTGTTTGTTGCAATATTAGGTTAATTAATTAACATATCATACACTTAATGAGTTTTAAATAAGATAAGCCATTAGGAACACTAGCTATGATGAAACAGTACACACAGATGTGCATCTAGAAATCAGGAATTGTCTAACCTGAGAACGATTTAATTGCCCATTCCGTTTGCCCAAGAGAATTTAAGGTAGTAATTTTAAGCTAAAGGAACTGTGACAGTGTTACAGACTGTATTAGAGTAGAAATATCTATGTTAGGATCCTTCTGTTAGCCTATCCTTATTTAGTTAACTTCTAATTTGCATATACTATGTTTTAATATAGCACTGACTTCTTATGACAGTGACACATATACACATACTGAAATTAATAGTTATAATAGGAATGCAAATCATCTACTCACAGTTCGAATCATTGTGATTATAATTTACTTATGATAGATTGTAAATTATCGTGGAAATGTTCCGTGATAGGACATATCGTAATCTGACTATTCTGTATTAGTCATCAGATGTCTATATTCGTAAATACTGTTGCTTGCATTAAGGGAGCAGTAGCTATAATTAATATCTAATTCAGTAAATGATTCTAAAGTTAATCGTACTAACTATGACTCATGAACTATTGAGGAAGAGTATATAA